ATATNTCTCTCTCTCTCTCTCTCTCTCTCTCTCTCTCTCTCTCTCTCCTGGCTCTCCTAGGAATAGAGATGTCATGTCCGGAGTAAGCACGGATCTTCTACTTTCCGTGAGGTTCACCAACGGCATCGCTCCGAGTTGCGAGGGTGCCCAGCACAGCAAGCATATCATATAATTAGCTGGTCATGGCCATGGTTTGGAGCATTTTTCTTGAAAAGGGCGGGAATTTTTCCACCGAAAGGGGCCGACGCGGGATGTGATGATGGGAGTCGGTGTGTCTACGCGCATGGAGTTGTCTCAGTTGGACAGCGGCCTTCTATCGATCTTGGGAAGGGACCTCGCATTGCGCACGAGAGGGGAGAGGATTTGCCTATCAGAGGAGGAGGGCACCAAGGAAGAAGATTGCCCAAGTCAGACTGAAGCTTGCGTACCTCTTCATGGGGAGAAACAAGGTAGGCCAGATCGCTGAGGAACTTTCCCGAGTACGCGGGTTTTCTGCTTCGTCTTTGTCGCCCTCGGGCTAGGCGCCGCCGTTGAATCTATTTTGGGCAGCTCCCTACAGTCACGAGGGACTGGAGTGAGGGTCCCATGAGCCCCTGTTTAACCCCCAAATAGCCGAACACTCCGAAGCGAACGGCGCTACCTGAGCCCGGATCTAAGGGGACAATGACCTTGGCGTTTGTTTTGTCGTTCAAGAAAGGTCACCTTTTCTTTGGAAGACGAAGCTTTGTCTTCGGAAGACAAAGTGGCATCCCGTTGTGGAGCGACTCGAAGGGATGAGGCGTCGCCGGAACCGGTTCTAGACTCTGAAGATGATCACGAGTAACAAGAAAGATGACTTCATGTAACAGAATAGGATGCCCAAGGGTTCACAGAAACAATGAGAGAGGATCTAATTCTTCAAAGGAGAGGGGAAAAAGGGTAAGTATGTAGATAGCTGGGCGAGCTGGCCATGTGGCTACCGGTGGGTATAAATAGAGCACCGACGGCTTCTCGGAGGGGTTTGCTCAGTCCATCCTCATCCTCACACCAACACCTGGATTTCACTCACCTGACTGACATCTCTGGTATCCAAGCACTTTTCGATCTTCTCTATCCATCGTCTCTCCTGTCTTCCCTAGATTTCCAGCAACAGGCTGCTCTCGAGATCACATATCGTCAACGATATCCACGATCGCGATGGCTCACCAAGCTGACACGACCCCTGCGCCCACTGCGGCCGAGTTGGAGATGCACCGCCCGCCCACCGCGGCCGAACTGGAGGAGATGTACCCCACACCCATCGACGCGACCCAGCCAAGCGACGAACCGCTTCCTATCCAACCTCGGAAGAGTTTTAGCGCGCTTACCCTTAAGGACTTTATCCGCGAGCTCACCGAGGTCGATCTGGATGAGATGTACCCCCCCACACCCATCGAGCGAGAAAAACCGCTTTTTAGGAAGAGTCTCGACGCGCTTCCCCTTAAGGACTCTATCCGCGAGGTCTTGAAGTACCGCACCGAGGTCGTCGAGACGCCCACGGAGTGGATCATAGGCGGGCGCCTCCTCCTCACCCACCACCCGCTTGCCGAGTCTCCGCCGGCCGGCAAAACATCCTGGCCCGGCGGCGAGCGCGACAAGGGTTACTACACCCTCGAGGACGCACCCCAGCCGCTACCATGGTCTCGCCCCGTGCGCGAAGGGCGGTTCGAGGAGTGGAGGAAACCGTACAGCCAGCTTTCCATACGCCGCATCGGCGAGGCTGATCTCAAAGTCAGCCTTATCACGTATCCGTTTGAAACAGAGGTAACGCGCGAACACGTCGTCCTGGAGTGGCTGGCCCAAAGGAAGGAGCACTTCAGCTTTGACTTCCCCCAGGTCCTCCACCACCACCAGCTCCACGGACGCTACTTCTTGCTTGTGCGCCGTCCCGAAGGCAAGCAACTCCAGCTCAAGGCCGCCTCCATGAGCGACCAAGAGAAGGAAGACATACAGAGGTGTCTGCGCCGCATCATCTCAAAGGAGCTGGGAGGCTTTACGGGGCACGGCCAGCCCCAGGCCGTCGATGGGGGTGTTCCCGCTATGAAAGGGACTGCTGGGGATCTGTACCTCGCCCATGTTGACATTGCCAGTAACGTATTGGTTGGCGACGACAACAAGATCGTCACCATTGCCAACTGGGAGCTGGCCTCGCTTCTGACCTACTGCGAAGGAGTTTGCCGCGACATGCTGGAGGTCGAGAAAGTCCTGTGGATGCCGTGGAAACCCTTTGTCTTCCCGGAGTAGGGCATAGGGAAGAATATGCTAGGCAGGGCGAGTATTTTCGGTAGCAATAATATACAAGGCGTTGGGATCACTCATGAGTCAAATTTTGAAAGCACTGGTTTGTTGCCGGTAGTGCGCGTGCGTCCTCGCAGAGGGGGCGGAGGGTCTCGGCATCGGATATCCGCCGAGACTCTCGGGCCAACGCTCCGCAGAACAGGAGACCGGCTCTTTGGTGGACCGTTTCCGTATGTACAATATGCCTGGCCTTATACCTGGCCTCTAAGTCTGCCTCCCTTGACCGATAGACCTCTCCTTCTATATGCGTGACAGTCTAATTACCCTCCAGGAAACCAACAAACAAAGGAAAAAGAGAAATCAGGTTCTCCTGTCCCTATTGGCCGCAGCCGGGGCGCAACTGTCAGTGGGTCTGGCGGGAACAGCAGGTAGCAGTCAGCCTTGCAGGCCGGTCTCGCAACTCACCGTCGAACGCGGCCTGGGAGGCGGCTGGTGATGAGCCGAATCGGACCGTGAGCTACGGCCTGGGCGAGGAATCGGGCCGACTGGCTTTCGTCGGGGCTCAGAAGATCCTGTGTGGGAGTCTGGCTCAAGTCACTGCACATAGCAGCAACTTCACGGGAGAGCTGGAGGATCACGCTCTCGGCCATCTCCGTGATGTGGGTATCGACGTCGCCAGAACGGACTGCTTCCCTGAGACCCCAGACGATATCACGGATGGCCCACTCCCCGCCAACCGTTATGGAACGGCAGCGTCGGCAGAAGATGCCGCGACCGGGTGTGATTTCTCTGCAACGGGGGTGGCTGCATGTCTGCGGTATAGATCCCGCGCTCATGACGAATGTTGGTAGTGTTGTTGCGTCTGGCTTGAATGTGAGCTGAATAGGTGGATGAAAGTCGATCTTGGGGGTAGAAACTTGGATTGTGCAAGTTGGGGGAGGAAAGGGGGAAGCGGAAGAGGGTGAGAAGTGTGATTGCTGGCTGTTTAAATAGTAATAGATCATTCGAATCGGCCATCCCATGAAGGTGAGGAACGACGGCAGCTGAAGTGCCCATGTTTCTTTGTTCACTATTAAGCGCCATGGCGCCTACCTAGCCAGACCGCCCCAGCGAGAGCTGGTTTGTAACCAGGCAAAGAAGCAAGGCGGCGATATGTGATATAAACGAACGGCCAGCCTACGTGACAAAAGAACTGCCACGTCGCAGGCCAGCGTGGCGAGCAAGGCGCTCTGTTTCCATGATGTTCTACGCCTCCTACCACCTATCATTGGTGACAACGAGCTCTGAATGAGAGAAAGACAAGGTGGGCCAGACCAAAACGCAGCAGGTGTAGCGGCCGGCGCCGGTGAGGGAAAGATCACAGACCTGCATCGCCCGGCCGTTATGCTTATGTCAACGCTGCTCTGTCATATATCGCGTGGGAGACGCAGGGATAAGCCTTGTCATTTTCCTGGTTCCCACCACCCAGGCAGGTTTGTGCAAAATGCCGGTCAATGCGGTATAATCAGCTGCAGAACTAAGCCCAGCCCTGCAGACAAACAGCCATCCACGCCCCAACACCACCGTGGCCTCTCTCTGAAGCCCTGTGTACATGCTCGTGAAAGACCAGAGTATGTATGAACCACGCCTTCTCGTCATCCGAGAAAACGAGGTAGCCTGGTACTGGCCTGGGTTTCGCCATCTGCAGCCAGTAGCGGTGGGTAGAACGCAAGCAACACCGGTAGTAAAAACCCGCCGTCTCGGCCCAGCCCATCGCTGCGGAGCGGGTAGGAGGGGAGGGGTGTGCATTTCGCCAATCGAGCTCTCCCTAGACTTGCCAACGAGCTCACGAACCAGACAAACACCAGGCCTAGGGCCGGCTGCCAAGGTCAAGGATGTTCACCTGAGCTGGTTGGAAACATCTGTTGTTTTTTTTCCTTTGTCCCCATTCCATCGTCCTAGCACCTCCTAGTCCTTGGCAAGGGGCCCGTACCAGTCGGTAAGGCACTGGTGCGCATCGTCTGGTTGTCAGCTGCTTTGGTGACAAACGCGATTACCGGGAGGAGGCTGTTGGCCCTGCTTCTGGAAAAGACCGTCAAGCCCTCCTGACCTCAACATACCCACTGACCACATTTCATAGCCAACACATTGGCCAATACGGATTCCGGATACTCTAGATCCGCTCTGGTCGTGAATGAAAAGCACCAAGGCGGAGAGCTCGCAAAAGTCCCTCAACAACGGCCATGCGTCGTCCCAGTCGACATATGGTTGGGAGCAGACACTTGTTGCTTCACATGGGGCTGTTCCCACAGCAAAAGTCGGGCACCTTTGTCTCGCGTGGCTCTCTCAGCACCCACTCGTGAGCTCAGCCCTCTGTTTTTCAGCCTTCCCAGGGTGCCGCGCCAGCGCGCACATTGCGGCCGCACAACGTGCATGGCCTGTGTCGGCTTCTCCGTCCCCCCAAATATACTCTAAATTCTTGATATCTGACATGTAGCGGGTGGCTTGACTGTCCCGCTCCGGGCTAGTGTTTTGTGGCTTCTGGCACCTCTGGGATATCCCTATAGCGCTACGGACGCATGTGTGTGTGCCTCCCGATGCATGACCCCCTGCCGACCCACATCCTTGTCAACCTGCCGCCTGACGCCAAGATGCTGGAAAAAGGCTGGCTATTGGGGATGACGACATCCGCCGCTTTCCCATGAGTGCCATGAGGCCTCCGGGTCGCAAATTCAGCACACTACTAGGCCAACCATCAGGGAGAAATTTTGTGATGACTTTCCTCGTCAGGAGTGTTGGGCCTAATGGCACTCAAGGGATAAGGCATGGACTGCCATCTCCCCGGAGTGGTATCAAGGGTTGGTGATGAGGCATGTGCCCAGGCCGCCCACGCCACCGCTTGGCTGTCACCGCCAGGCCCGACATGGTGGTACAACATTCTTTTTTCAGGGGTACCCTCCTTGCCAACTGCAAACAAGCATAGAGTCTGCAGCTGCTGGGCTTTGCGACAGAAAGGTGGATATTAGGGAGCAGCTACGAGATGACGTGACAGACATTTCACATGCGCATGACATCCATCAGGAACACGATTTGAAATCAGGCAGGCACCTAGAGGTAGGCAGGTGCAGCAAATAGCATCGCGGATTCGAATCCAGCTGTCTGCTCATCATACTGCTTCTAAAAGACCCAACGATGGTGACATGAGGGCCTTCTCCAACTCACAAGCGAGGAGATGGTCGTGCGCGCAGCCCATTTGGCCCCAAAGGATCAAGATGTGGAAATAAACACATGGCAGATGTCCACTTAAACATGTCACGTGAATACCCCAAGGCTGGGTCATCGCTGGACAAGCATCATGGGCTTTTCCACCAGTCACTCCAATACACAGGCGTGTATTCCAGAGGGTCTGCGACCTCCACTACATTCTTCTTGGCAGAACCGAGATACAGATCAGCCATCTGGACGTACCGCCTGTCGTCTGCTCCGCGATGGAGTCTTCTGTTGTTGTGCCTATTCTCGACGTGGTCGTAGCTGCTAGTACCCCCCTAGCTCGTAGCAGCTCGGCGACAGCAGTGCTAGCAAGATGTTTCGTTCTCGTAATTTAGATTGCCTCCAAGTTGGGTCTGGAAGGCTATATACCTACCAATGTGCACTGGGAGGAAACTTGCTATGATCCATTTAAGGGGTATTCCAACCTGCCTTTACGAATCGAAAGAAAGCAATGCGAGGCTGCACAATTGTTGCAGTGAGCGATGCAGCGCAGCTCCGCAGTCGATTTACGCCTGATGTCTCTCCATCAAGGATTATGTAATGTCTGAGGGAAACGGTTCTGGTTGGTTCGGCCCCGCCAAACCGGGGACCTGTCCCTGAAGGTTAGCTCCGCGCAGCTCCACACACACGGCCAGCCTGACGAGGACGATGCATTCAGGCTCTCACTTCTCGGGCGCCGGACAGCAAAACGATGAGGAGAGGTGACGACCCCGACAACGGCGCCTGGAACCGCCGACCGAAGCACGAGGCGCGGTCGTGGAACGACTCGCTGAACCGGATCGACTGGCAGCACTACAAGGAGCCGCGCCAGTGGGTGCCGACGCTGCTCGCGACGGCCACCATCGTGGGCTCCATCCGCTTCTACCGCTCCTACCTGCGCCGCATCCCCGGAACCGCCCACATCCGGCCGGGTCTGTTCTACAAGAAGAGCCTGCTGGGCCGCGTCACCAGCGTCGGCGATGGCGACAACTTCCACATGTTCCACACGCCGGGCGGGCGTTTGGCGGGATGGGGGTGGCTGAGGTCTGTGCCGAATGACCGGAAGATCCTCAAGGGGAGGACGGTGAGCTTGCCCCCCCGACCCCGAACGTGAACTCCCCCCGGGTCCGCCGCTCACCCGCCCCAGACGCGGGCTGACCCCGGGGTGGCCGCGGGAAAGAAAGCTGACCGCCGTCTCTCCCCCATCTCTCCCCGGACCCAGATACCGATCCGCATAGCCGGCATCGACGCGCCCGAGGGCGCGCACTTTGGGAGGCCGGGCCAGCCGTTCAGCGGCGAGGCGCTCGCGTTCCTCCGCTCGTACCTCCAGGGCCGCAACGTGCGGGCGCGCATCTACCGGCGGGACCAGTACGAGCGGGTGGTGGCGACGGTCTTTGTGCGGCAGTGGCTGGTGGTTCGGCGCGACGTGGGCTACGAGATGCTCAAGCGCGGCCTGGCCACGACGTACGAGGCCAAGACCGGGGTCGAGTTCGGCGGGCTCGAGGACAAGTACCGGGCCGCCGAGGCCCTGGCGAAGCAGAGGCGCCTGGGCATGTGGTCCGGCAAAAAGGGCTCGGTGGTCGAGACTCCGCGCGAATACAAGAACCGATACGCCGCGCTAGCGGAGAAGGAGAACCCCAAGAGGTGAGAGGGGATGGCGCGTGGTCGGTGAGAACGGGTCGCCCAAACCCTAGCATGGGAGCAGGACGGAGCCGTAATGTCGGCAGCCGTTACATTATAGCAGTGCCTTTGTTTGACGCTGTCTCTGGGCAGTTCCCTTATTACGTGGTTACGTTGATATAGGCTGATGGTGTACACCACGGATGCACACGTGACGCCACGATGTTCTGGTACCCCACAATCCGTCCATGGTTCGCAGCCATGCATCTAGACCTCGTTCATCATGCACACTTGATTCACTTCGTATCAAGGGTTGCCCTCCTATGATGACACAGGCCGATGGCTCAGTGATTGATCTTCTCGATGTTATGATTTGTGTTCGGCAACTGCCTGCTGCTGCACGAAAGAAAGTTGAGGTATCTGAGATTCAACACGGCTGGGAGAACATGGTGTGTGGCGCAAATCACGAGCGACGGCAAGCGGAAACGACCGGGAACAAGAATTCGAACCCAAACGGGGCCGGGTATTGGTAGCGTTTCCATCCTCCCACACCAGGAACAAAGGGCACACATAACAGATCCATGAATGCACGAGTATGATCAGCGTTGGCGGGTTTCTCGAGCGGTGTGCCTGGTACGAAACCAACAGGCGGAGAGACCACTGATTGGCGGATGCGCCAACAAAAGCCGGTGTCGCTAGAGGCATGTTCCGGGCTATCGTTGCCCTTCATGTCGTCATGTGCATCACAGGCGGCATGAACTGGACTCGCTGCTCGATCGACGGTTGGGGGGGGGGGGCCTGGCCGAGCCATGGATGCTGCGATTCTGGTCGTCTGGACTAGCTATAGTCGTTTTAAAACAACCAGGGCGAACCTCGACTTCCGCGTGGTTGGGTAAAAAAGCAACACTCAACGCGCCGAGCGGATTCCCCTGTTTATTGCCTTGACCTGGGGAAGAAGAAGAAAAGAAAAAGGCTGGCACGCAGACGTGGGACAAGGCAGGCTGTTGGGAAAGCATCCGAGGAGGGGCGAGGCGAGGCCAAGCGTGCGCGATAAACAAGCGACTGGCTGGTCCAGCCACCCACCCAAATTTCGGGCAAGGCCTCACAGCCAGGCTGCCAGCCGACGAAATGTGCGTCAATGGCGCCTGCCACAGAAATGCGCGGCGGGTATACCGACTTCTGGGCTCGAACTTGAACAAAAGCAAGCTGTATGTTTTGTTTGCCCTCGATTCGACTGCTCGCTGGCCACGTTGGATGATTGGCCGTTGTCGACGTTGGACCAGCGGGGTGGTCTGCCCTGTGTGTCGATGAGATGAAGCCTAGAGGCGGGCGCGCCGGCAGCCAGCCACTCAGATCGGGTTTCGCGCCGCATCGATCCAAAATGGCGTGGCTTGGGAAAGCTGGGGTTCCTTGGCGAGCCCCTGACAACCACTCAGAGTGAAGCTGGTTGCATCGAACCCCGTTTTTCTTCTGGGCCTTGCCCCTGATGCCGGCATGGCAGCCCCTGGGGAGCTCAGGCCCTGGGCTACGGGTGGCATTTTGACTCGGGTGTGGCCGGTGGCCTGTCTTTGCCGCCTCCCTCTTTTCCGGATCCTCACCACCGAATTTCTTGCGGCAAAAGAAAGCAAGATTTAGACCCTCAAGCTATTCTTCCAGTACTCGGTACTGAGTCGCTCGTTTTATCGCAGCTTGGGGGTGTCTCGTGCACACACCCTCTTTTTGCCTCTTGCTCAAGCTCAATCTGTTTCCGCCCGCGGCCCGAAGGTGTTTTGCAATCCCTCCTCTCCCAGGTAAGGATCCACCCCCTGATCTGACCTCGGCACGGTTCGACCTTCACGTTGGGTGTGAATGCTCCCACACAGAACACCCCGAGGTGGCTTGTCTCAGTTGTTCTTCACCTTGAGCAAGAATCGCAGTTGTCAACCAAGTGTTCTTGTGTCGACTGACACTGGGGCGACGCGAAGGATTCGTGGACACAGCGTCAGGGGTTATCAAACGTCAACCTTAGCGTGCCCTCCCGCCTAGCCACATCGTCATCATCCCGTGTAACAGCAATATCCGACGTGCCACGCCGAGAAGAGGCAGAGGAATTTCTCAGAGGCATTATCGTCCTGTCCCTTCGTGTAAACAGACACGGACAGAGACAGTCGCACCCGACAGACAAGCGCTGGCCGTTGGTGTTCACTGCCTCGCTGTCCCGCAGCACCAACCTACGACAAAACAAATCAGGCCAATTTCCTGGCCTGTCTTGAGACACGCCAGACTCGCCCAATTGGAAGCACCCGACGCAGCGACCAAACACTCTCGTCATCCCCTGCAACCCAGGAAGATCGCGACCGAGCGGACGAGCGATCTCTTGCGCATCCCGTCTTAGCAAACCCGAAATTTGACCCAGCGCTTGGCTGCGGAGCGGGCCCGCCAGATCCACCACATCCAGGCTTCCGGCCTAGGCAGTCCAGGCGCTCTCTGGACCCGGTTTTGGTGCAATCTCAATCCAAGCTAGCACAACAGAATCCCGCACGGCCCACCCAGACTGCTCCCACATTAGCGCCACCCACCCGCCGTGCCTTTTGCAGCGGCAGCTTAGGTTTCTCGTTCCTAGCCCAAATCTGCAAGCTTCGACCTGGCGCGAGCCAAACGGCTGGACAACGTCAACAATCTCCCATTCCAGTCCAATCGAGTCCTACTCGCCGCTATTCAAATTTTACCGTTCCTTGCGAGCTGGCAACCACGCCCACCCAATCTCTCGACGACTCCGTCGGCACCCTCGTTCCCGTTCGAATCTTTTAAACCGCAATCGCGACTCTGACCGACGCCGTTGCCGTGGCTTTTTCTGCGAAATTTCTGCCTCGCGCATACCGACCAGCAACGTACCGCGCAACCAGGCCAATTTGCCTCGAGTCCGACGACGTAGCACGTCACACAAAACCCGGCGTCTTTAGGTTACTCGCGCGCTCGTGCCTTATTTCTCTGATCGATTTCTTAGTCTTGGACCGCGCACTAGTTTCGCTCCTCCAGACTGTCAAAACTGTCATGGCTCGTTCATAGACGCCCAATCCCCCCCATGATCCGCGACTTGGCCTGTCACCCACAACAACCCAAGGTTTGACAGCCAGCCACCTCCGCAGGCACCCCATACACTGCCTCGCGACATCTTCGAAATGCGAATACCCCTCCGGCGGCGGCGTAGCGCCCCCCGGTCCGCGCTCTCTAACACTGTTTCTTCGATTCTTGCCATCTCGGGTCTCGCCTCGATACCCACGACCGATGCCATTACGTTCAAACCCGCCCCCGCCACGAACCTCGATGTTTCCCAGCTTGGTCGCGTTGGGATTGCTGGAGACTTCTCCGGCATCTCTTTGTACCAGTTCGAAGGCCAGACAGAGGCCGCTATCAGCACAAATGGTAGCGAGTCGCTGCTTGCGCGCACGCCCAATGGCGCGCTAGCCAGCGTCCTCAACACAGATGCGTCGATTAACGCCATGTGCGCCTTCATGCTGAACAATGGCAGCATGGAGGGTGTTGTGCTCGGTGGGAACTTCACTAGTTTGGGGTCCAAGCAGTCTTCGGCCATCGCGCTTTTCAACCCCAACACTTCCGATGTCACGCCCCTCGTTGGTCTTCAAGGCCAGGTCAGCGCTGTGCTCTGCGACCGGGAGCGAAGCACCATCTACGTCGGCGGCAACTTTAGGGGTGGCGGCTCGACCAATGCCATCGCCTGGGTGAACAATCAGTGGACGAACCTCCCGTTCGGTGGCTTCAATGGGCCCGTCAAGTCAATCACCAAGGCAGCCAACGGGCACATCATCTTCGGAGGCGAGTTCACCGGACTCGGCAACGACAGCGTCCCGACCCAGCCCGATGGCCAGGTCATAAACCTCGTGGATTCCTCGATAACCTCGGGCTCCTCTTCGTCGGACGCGTCATTCAGCGACCCAAGGAATATCATTTGCAAGTCCGGCGCGTCTGGCGGCCCCGGAAACACCTGGCTGCTCCGCGACAACACCCCTGGCTTTTGGCAGGCGAGCTTTAACTTCGGTTTCCAGCCAACCAAGCTGCGGCTTCGCAACACGCGCCAAAACGGCCGCGGCACCAGGACCTGGCGTTTCACGGCCGAGCCCATCAACGGCATAATGAACTTCACATACATCGACCCCGCCACCGGCAGGAACTCTTCTTGCACCAGCGAGTGCCCGCTGAGCGACAACAGCACTGTGCCATTCCAGGACTTTCACTTTGTAAACGTTATTGGCATGACCGGTTTCCGGATCGATATCTCGCAGTTCTACGGCAGCGGCGGCGGCCTCGATGGCATCGAGCTCTTCCAGGACGACATCTTCGCATACGCGGTCAACCAGTTCAACGAGCCAGCCTGCGCTGGTCTCGCGAACCCCTCGCGGGCGACCACCACTGGCCCTTTCTCCACCTCTCCATCCCAGATTAGCCAGTCGCAGTACCTGCTAGCTCAACTCTCCAGCCCCATCAACTCCCAGTCCGCATCCATCACCTTCACTCCCGACATTCGCGAGTCTGGCGACTACTCGGTCAACATGTACACTCCGGGCTGTATCCCAGACGGCACCTGTGCGACCCGTGGACAAGTCAACATCACCATAAACCCTAGACCTGGCTTTTCCCAGTCTGTGCAGCTTTTCCAGACGAACAACTTTGACAAGTTCGACCAGATTTACTTTGGACAGATGCAGGCCAGCGGCTCGTTCCGCCCGACCGTTGTCATGACTCCGCTTAATGGTCAGTCTCTTGACAGCATGACCTTTGTTGCCCAGAGAGTCGGCTTCACTCAGATCAACTCCACCGGCGGGCTCAATGGCCTGTTCGACTACAACCCGGCCACGCCCACTATCGACCCGACCGAGTTCCAGAATTCGGGCTTCCACAAGCTCGGCGCTTCTCTGGCACCGTCGGCTACCGTTGTCGCTCTTGCATCGGCTGGCGACACAACTTATATTGGCGGAAACTTCAACGGAGACAGTGCCAGAAATGTCGTTGGCATCAACTCACGTGACTCGTCGACGCAGTCTCTGAACGGTGGCCTCAACGGCGCTGTTGGCGCCATGGCCTCGAACGGGAACAACCTCTACGTGGGCGGTAGCTTCTCGGCCACACAGGACAACTCGGTCACCGGCCTGAACGGTGCAGCGGTGCTGGATACCGCAACCAAAAGATGGAGCGCTCTTGGTGGTGGGGTTGAGGGCAACGTCGTGAACGTTGTCCTGATGACCATGAATATCACGGGCACAACCCCCGAGGTCGTGGTCAGCTTCAGCGGCGGATTCGGTCAGCTGCGGGCTTTCAACGGCAACCCCGCTGTTCCTGTCAACGGCTTTGCTATCTGGGTTCCATCACAGCGCAACTGGCTCAACAACCTCAATGGCACCGTCGAGTCCATCGACGGTATCCTCTCGTCGTCGATACTGAATCTGCCTGGTGGCGGGGATTTGTACTCGGGCTCGGTATTGTTCTCATCGGTTGGCACTAATGGAGCCGCCGTCTTGGATGGCATCTCGCTGCGTGGATTTCCCGCTCGAATCCAGCCAAGGGCAACCGTGTCGTCGGCGGGCAGGATTGCCAGACGTGACACCCCCCTCGGTGTTCGGTCATCGGGTGTCAACGCTGGCGCCTTCTATGCCCCTGCCAACAGCGGCAGGAACATCACGGTGCTTGCAGGGCGCTTCACAGCCACGGCTACCAATGGCTCCTCGGTCAGCAATCTTGTGCTTATTGATGGTGCAAACAATGATGCGGTCTCGGGCCTCGGCTCCGAGATCTCGGCCAACTCGACCTTCAGCGCGGTTGCCATTCAAGGAGACAACCTGTTTGCCGGCGGTAATGTTACTGGTACTGTCAATGGGGCCCGCGTCAATGGTCTCGTTTCCTACAACTTGGCCAACAAGAACTTCAATGTTCAGCCACCCGTCCTCTCTGGGGGTAACACCACCGTTCACGCCATCACCCTCCGTCCCAATAGCGGCGATGTCTATGTCGGCGGATCGTTCACATCTGCCGGGTCTCTGGGTTGCCCTGGCGTCTGCTTTTACAGCTCTTCGGCCGGAACTTGGAACCGGCCTGGTCCCAACCTGGACGGAACTGTCAACACCATGATCTGGGCTAGCGACACGGTGCTGCTAGCGGGTGGGTCCCTCACGCTCAACGAGACGATCAAGACTAGCCTGGCCAGGTTCGACACCAATCGAGGAACATGGGAGGCCTTCCCTGGCTTTGATCAGCTCCCCGGACCGGCCGAAGTTCTTACGGCAGCGTCTCGCGATGGCAACGAGGTGTGGGTGTCGGGAACTTCGACCGCCAACGGGACCATCTACCTGATGAAGTACGACGGCTCTCAGTGGCGTCCCGCCCCCGCCTTGGGCACCGGCTCCGTGCTTCGCAGTCTACAGATGTTCACTGTGACATCAGGCCATGAAGATTCGACCCTCGTTGCGCCCAACCAGGTGCTTATGCTCACCGGCTCCATCCGTATCCCCAACTTTGGATCTGCTTCAGCCGCCATATTCGACGGGACTTCCTACCGCCCATTCGCCCTAACCTCGTCGCGCGACCGGACGTCTGGCACCATCTCTCGCATCTTTGTGGAGAACTCGCAGTTTTTCACTTCCAGCGAAGCCGGTCGTCTTCCACTCGTTGCCATCGTCCTCATTGGCCTCGGTATCTCTCTCATACTCATGCTCCTCATCGTCCTCGCGGGTCTACTTCTAGACCGTCTTAGGAAGAAGCGCGAAGGCTACATCCCCGCTCCTACGTCCATGTACGACAGGGGCAGCGGGATCCAGAGGGTGCCCCCTGGAGAACTTTTGTCGACGCTCCGACAAGGTCGATCAGGGCCGCCAACATTATGATACGATGATGACGATTACGAAAGGTAGCCAGACTCCATTTGTGTTTGTCTGGCAGGGCGGCGTTTTATGGTCTGGATTTTAACTCATTTTGGGCGGCGTTGGTCTTTTCTTCTTTTGTTGGCACACACGAATCTTTGGGGGCGAAACTTTCTATCCGAGACACCAATGGCATTCTCGACTCCCGTTGGCGGCCTCGATTGTCTAGGTACCTTTCGACCCCCAAGCATTGTGGGGGATTGACTGGGCATCTCGCTCGGTTGATGGGGGCAACCTTAATACCTTCTTGACTTGATACCCCTACCTGTTCTGCTACCAGGGCACAGGTGCAGGGCACGTCCCCTGTGGGCTCGCAACGAACGGGTTCCTGCCGATGATCCTCGCGGTCCGGATTCCCTGTTCAACACGGCCATCTTTCACAATCTTTCACCTACTTTTTTTTTTCTCGCCGCTTTCTTTCAATCTTTCCACAGAAAGGCTTTGTTCTGCTTCGTTTCTACGAATTACGACCGCTCAAATATGTCGGTAATGTTTAACCTGTCTATTTCCGTTGGAGGAACTTCCAACGTCACCTACATCCCTTACCACCAATCGCTCGCGATGTACATTACTTTCTCCTCCTCTAAAGATGCCCAGAAAAGACGTCCTCCGTTTGATACTCTCTGCCCACATCATCTCAGGGAGCTCTTTGCCTACATCTTGTGCCTCGTGTTGATCTTTTTCTGCCCTTGTTGCTCATGCCTAGCTCCAGTCATCCTTGGCTGGGTTTCGTTGAGCGTGTGTTTGCTTGCTTCTCGCCATTTCCTAATGCTGTGCTCGGCGCTGTGGCAGGCCATCTGGATCGTTGATTTCTCCCTCCTAGTTCCGTCGCAGTACCGGACGCAAGTCTTACCACTGCTCTGTTTTTTTCTCCATCACCCGCCGTTCTGTGTTGATATCCAATATCTTTCTTTCTTTTTTTGCTGGCGCAGACAAGTGCCAAACTCATGGTAGATAGACAAAAACACCGCGGAGCTATGTCCCATAATCCAGCTTTCCGCGGGGGAGAAAATAAAGCATTTGTCAGACAGACGGCCAAGCACACGGATCGATCGTCTTTGCCCTCCTTTCTCTCCTCAAGCCGTCCCTGCGCCTGGGCTAACGATCCATCGCAGTTGAGCCTGCGCCTCACTCGGTTGCTCCGTTCGTGGCTAGACTTGGGCCGTTGCAGTGCCCTGTCCACACTCGAGGCAGGTTCTATCTACACATGGACTTTATGAACCAGAAGATGATAGCAATTACACAGCAGGTATCCAAGTTTGCGCCTATGTATACGCGATGGCATGTACCGTGAGGGTCCTGTTTCTTCTTCTTTTTTTCTTTTCTTCCGAGGCGGACCGAGTTGGACCGCCCCGTCCCTCCTTCTCACGGCGGACGGCCGCCGGCGGGAGGGGCGAGGCGCCTGCGGCACAGCAGCAGCGGGATCGTGTGGCCCGCGCCCGCGCGCGACCGGGACCCGGGCAGCGTGCGCGGCTTGAAGGGCGCGCGGCGGCCCGTCGGCCTGTAGTGCCGCAGCTGCCAGCGCGGGGTCCGGGGGTACCAGTCGCAGTCGCCGCCGCCGCCG